AATACATCTGAAAATACTTTTAGTATAAAATGTCGATAGAATGATTAAAGCCATGATTAGAAATAAAGAAATACACAAAAACTGCAAACAAAGTTAAAGGAAAAATGAAAACCTAACAGATCTGAGCAGTAAAGCAGCAAACAGCAGCTTCTTCCTGACATGAAAAGATTATCTGTTTATAACAGAACATTCCACAAAAAACAGAAACCATTAAGGCAGTGATGTCCAACTGGTTCCAGACTCCACTTATCTCATCAGATCATCATGTTTAGACTGGACTCACTTGATGAGATGAATGGAGTCTGGTGTCCTACTACTTGGTTGGAGAGAAAACCTGCAGCCACACGGCCCTTTCTGGAACCAGTTGGACATCCCTGCATTAAGGACTTCATCTGAAGTCAAGCAGTACGAAAACTCAAAGGCTGTTTTTGCAGATAAATCCACTGATGAAGCCGCTCTCCCAGGCTGGTATGCGTCTCTAAAGCCGGGCGTACACTCTACGATATTTCCAATCTTTGCACGCAGCTACAGCTCAGACGGTACGACCAAACCGCAGGGTTTAAAAGTTCCCAGCTCACCATGTTTGTTCTCACACTGCGACCCGACGCTCTGATGCGATCTACCTGCTCACACTCTACGTCTAAAAACCAGGTGGGACTCAGCTCCGCAGTCCTAGAAAGAAAAGGAGACGACGTATTTGGACAAAGACATGGCTGAGCTAATGTGGCTACTACGGTCTGTCAGTTTGACAGAAAGAACTCCATTTCACTCATTGCCCCCCCGCCATGCTGCTGGGTTTTCATCTGAGAGGAAGAAGAAGAAGAAGAATCCTTGTTTGCCCGCTGAGCGATTCGCCCACGACCACCTTACGATGGCCGACTGAATTTATAACATGTTTATTTTTCTCCCGACCTTCTGATTCCTGATGGGGGGGCGGGGGGTCGTTACAGGCTGATCGCCCCTCGTCACCCCCTGGTCACTACACCACGCACCATCAGGATGAAAGTTAGCCTGATCATAAAATTCTTGCAGGACTGGAGAATCGGCCCGAAATGAACAAAAACTGGTACAGTGCAGCCCAGCCTGAGGGGTATCACTGAGCACATGGATTGC